CCCCCCCCCCCACCCCTCCCCACACAGATGAACATTTCTTGCATGCTGGTCTTCCGAGTGTGACTGTTGGTAGCACCATTGCTCTTATGCTGTCCGCATGTTGGTCGTATGTATTTGTTTCAAAAGCTTGTTTGGGTTCTCATGTTCTTTCGTAGATCTTCGTAGTTTGTATCGACCGTCGTCATTCTATGCTCAATTTCGGTTGGGCGCGTTAAAAGAAGGCCCGAGCATGTGCTTGAATGACTTTCATTCAGGAGTCTAGGGGCCGGAGGAGCACATCACGATCGCCATCTTCGTCGGAGGGACAGGGGGGAACCCACACCACAGGGAACCACAGGGGGAGAGGGGGGATACCATGGGGTGGGGGGAATGGGGTGGGGGGGGGGAGGGGGGGCCTAGAAGCGCTGCACCATATATACAGGGTGTTGCAGCCTGTATCAGGGGTTTCCTGTGCCCGATATGATAAATTTGGAGATTACTTAGAGGATCAAAGGACTTAGTAAATAGGATTATAAGTGCTTAATTCAGGCCATATGTAAACATAGCTATGGTCACCTTACTTATACTTATAGCCCTTTCTAAGTCCCCTGAACCTCTAAGCACGGGTCACAAAAATCTCTAGACCCCTAAAGTAGCTCGTCGCCCACCTCCAAAAAACATCTTACATTGGCGCCGCAAGGTCATCGGGTCCCAGGTGCGCCTGACTTAAGGCAAACGATCTTCAAAGGATCAACCACAGCTTGGCACTCTGGTGTCTGCGCAAGTCCCAGACGTCAGCAAGCGAGGCGGAACCCTCAATCTCGAGACAAGCCTGTGGACAGCTGGGTGCAAGCATGGGCTGTGTGACACATGTCACAATGCCTCCTCCTCGGTTCGCCCTGGCTTGGGACCCGCAGCGCTCGAGCAGCAGCTCCACTGCTCGTTGAGTTTCCACTTCAGTACATGCTCCCCAGACACCGCCTCCCTGGCAAGTGATATCATCATGCGAGCCACTATCTGCAAAAGATTTCTCATAGGTTCCTGAACAGCAGGCTCCGCGTTAACGGCCTCCACTGTACTAGCGTACTCTTGCGCATCCTGAGTTCATCGGCACCCGCGCTCGTTTCTGACGTATCGGTTTCCATGCTCTTGGGTGCCGAAAGCGCGCTTTGAGGGCTTAGGGTTTAGGGTTTAGGGGTAGGGTTTCGGGTTTACCTTCTGGGTGTAGGGGTGCGGTTGCGGGTTTAGGGACTAGGGGTAGGAAGATCACCTTGTGGTTCAGGGTTTAGGGTTTAGGGTTTAGTGCCCAACATCTCCCGAAGCCCGAGATTCCGAGCAGAACCTTGATGGATCCCCAGACACCTCGAAAGACAAACATATTCCATGTCATACCCACCCTAAACCCTAAACCCTAAACCCCAAACTCTAAACCCTAAGCCCTAAACCCTAACCGACCCTCATAGAACCCCTGCGATCCCCCGAAGGATGCCCCCCAAAACCCTTAAGTAGGGTTTATATAGGGTTTAGGGTTTAGGGTTTAGGGTTTAGGGTTTAGGGGTTATTGAACCTCAGAGCATTAAGCCCCTTACAAGCCGTAGCCCCCTAACACGGTTGATGATATAAATCCTGCATTACCCATAATAAGTCATATACCATGATTCCCATAGTTTAGGGTCCTTAAGGTAATGCAGGATTTATAAACATCAACAGTAGGACCCTTACTGTCGTAAGGAGCACGTGCACCCAAATAGTACCAACTTTGGCCTTAAAGTAATCCTTCTTTAAGCACTTTGGGGCCGAAGTATCTACGACTTAGGTACATGGACCCCTAGAGATAGATACTAACCACCCTAAACCCTAAACCCTAAACCCTAGACCCTAAACCCTAAACCCTAAACCCCAGACTCCAAACCCTAAACCCCAAAACCCCAAAACCCCTAAAGATAGATACTAACCCAGGGATGCTGCTAGGAAGCTGGTGCACAAGCCGGCACAAGACAGCATCGTCCTGAGCCGCCGGGCCGGCTTTATAGGGCTTAGGCTTTAGGGTTTTGGGTTTAGAGTTTTGGTGGTTTATCGCAGGGGTTAGAGTTAAGAGTTAGGGTTCTCATGTTCGGAATTTAGAGCTTGTTGCTAGGGTGTAGGGCTTATCGCATGGTTTAGGGTTTAGAAGTTTAGTGCTAGCACATGCAGTAAACCCTAGACCACAACATCTACACCATGTTGGCTTACACTTTTTTCAGATAATTGGGGGGTGTTTCAATCTTGCGTGTTGGGTTTAAGGATTTTTGTTGAGGGTTTGGGGTTCAGTGTCTGGGGCTCATCTTGCCCACCCAGCCCCCTGAAGCGTGAACTCCAGCTGGAAACAGAGCCCGAAAGCTTCAGCTTTCTACTCACGACATTGGTTTTGTGAGAAAAACCCAGACACCACTGAAACCTTAAATATTAAATCCCAAGGGCCCCCTTTGAGGCGCTACGAAAGCTTTGTTGCCGGCAACTTGAGAATCGCAGTTCGCTCATCTGCGTGCCTCACAATCACGCCCGCAACGCTGCCACTGTCTCAGAGCTCCATGGAAATTCACATAAAAATCATCCTGGCGCGGAGCCTCGCTTGGCCGAGAGGAATACTAAACCCTAAGCCCTAAACCTCTTAAACCGAAAGCCCTGCTTGGGCGGAAGGCCCACAGCGGTGCATTCTGCGAGAGGGCCTGGGCACACTCAGCCGACCATACACGCTCCATGCTCTGTCGGAGCTTATACGAGCGAAGCGCTTTGTGGCCTCGTAGGGTACGGAATTGGTTTTCGGGTCGTTAATGCAGCGGTGTCTGCCAGAATGAGATCGAATCTTGTCAATTTCTACATCATGTCCGCTGGAGGCACGAAGCTCAACCCTAAACCCTAAACTCTGGTCCTGCTGCGCTGCGCGGCCCGGGCCACACCGTCCTGAGGCTTCAGCCACAGCGCGCCGCACCCCTTGGCCGACTGCCATCCTCCTTGCGGCGGCCTCGCTCTGAGGCACCAGCTCTCCGGATAGGAGGCGGTGAGGGTTTAGAATTTAGGGTTTAGGGCTTTGGGGTTTAGGGTTTAGGGTTTAAGGTTTAGGGGTTTAGGATTTAGGGTTTAGGGTTTAGGGTTGATTCGTATAATCCTGCATTACCCATAATAAGTTAGAGTAAGAAATATACCATAATTCCCATAGTTTAGGGTCCTTAAGGTAAGAGGCGGATAAGCCCGTTTTACGGTTTAGGGTTTAGGGCACCAGGACGTTTCTCAGGAGAACATGGCAAGGAGCCCCCAACAAGGCAGGTGAAAAAGGGTCCAGGCGCGTGCTAAATCCCTAAACCCTTGATCCTAAGCCCTAAAACCTCCAAGAACCCTCTAAGCCCTAAGCCCTAAACTCCTAAACCCACAACCCTAAAACCTCCAAGAACCCCCTAAACCCTTCAAGAACCTCCTAAACCCTTAAACCCCTGAAGCCCTAAACCCGAAACACCCCAAACACTAAACCCTAAACCCTAAACCCTAAACCCCAAAACCCAAACCCTAAACCCTAGACCCTAAACCCTAAACCCCAAACGGAAGACCGATCATAGGTAGTATTAGGGGTACCCCTTCTGAACCCTACTTTCGGGTGTCTTAAAAGGGACCTTATTGAGAGGGTCTATATCCCCAAGGGTCCCCCTAATCCTATCTCCCAGATCCCCAAACTAAACCCTAAACCCTAAACCCGAAACCCTAAACCCCAGACCCCAAACGGAAGACCGATCAAGGTTCTGTCTAAAACCCTAAACCCTAACCCCCCCAAACTAAACCCTAAACCCTAAACCCCAAACTAAAGACCGATCAAGGTTCTGTCTGGAGCTCGGCCAGGGTCTCTTTCACCTGGGCGGTCGCACGCTGCTCAAGCAGAGCACTCAGGGCTTCGGGGTTTAGGGTTTAGGGTTTAGGGTTTAGGGTTTGGGGTGAAGGGTTTAGAGTTTAGGGTTTGGGGCTTATAGGGCTTAGAGTTGAGGGGTTTAGGGTTTCGAGTTTAGGGTTTAGGGTTTAGAGTTTAGGCTTTAGGAGTTTAGCGTCCTCTCGGGTTTGAAGGTCGAGGGATGAGCGCAGGCGTTGACGATTTAGGGGCTTAGGGTTTAGGGCTTAGGGTTTAGGGTTTAGGGTTTAGGGCTAGTGATGGCTGAAGCTTGGCTAGTTTGCGATGCCACGAAACAAACACCGGTCGCCGAGGCTCTGGGTGGTTGTCAAAATTATGGTCCCGTTTTGGGGTCCTTATTATCATACGGCACCTATTATTTAGGGTACCCTAAATGTGACCATAATTTTGACAACTACCCTTATCAATGCACCAGAGTAGGCTCGAAGATAACGTCAGATGACTCACTTTGTCAGGGCCAACAGCCGCAGAAAAATGACTGTCTACCTGAAACCCTAAATCCCGAACCGTAAACTACCGCGATGCGGCTCGCATCTGGCATTGCATTTAGGGCTGAGGGCCGAGGGATCAGAGGTTTAGTTCAATGAGGAGTCACCTTAAATCCGATAACCCATATCCTTTTCAGGGTGTAGTTATACCCCAACACCCTGAACTAAACCCTAAACCCCAAACCCTAAACCTAAACCCTAAACCCTGAACCGAAACTATCACGCCAAGCAGCTCGTTTTGAGGCGCCTTTGACATATGCGTCTTTGACAACCTCGGGTTTGGGTTTAGGGTTTAGGGTGCGAATCACTGGTTCTTAGTCGAAGAAGGTTCGAAATGGTTTAATGAGGGTGTGGGCTGGTTTGGGATGTTGTATGGTATTTATGCACATACAGTCTTGCAGTCCAACATCTACATCTCTATCTATCTATCTATCTATCTATCTATCTATCTATCTATATATCTATCTTTCTATCAACCTATCTACATCTATCCCTCCCTCCCTCCCTC